CATCATGTTTATTTGGCTCGCTCAATGGTGTGAGGATTTCGGAATTGAGTCCCTGAGCGCCCGCCCAACAACGAATCTCCGCTACTCATATCTAACCCCAGTACAAATTATAATTTTGTATTATGCCATGCCAAATAATTTTCTGTTTTTTGCTATTTAGTTGTTCGCTCAAGTTGGCACGATTGCTTATAATTAAATTAACTTGCTAATAGTATACAGGGCTGGCCCTCAGCCCGTCGCCTCTTAATTGAAACCTTGCTGGGCAAAAGAGTTGGAAGGTTAGTTGTCCTGTCCGTCCCCAGTTAGCCAGCGTTGAGCTTTTGGCAAATATTTTTGGGACAGGGCGGAGAGCGTAGCACAAAAAAAGGTCACCAATAAAGTAATTAGGCGCTCAGTGTCCGAGAAATTTGCTACATCAAAGGACATGCCGTCAGCCCCCAAAAATGTACATTGCTGTCTATTGTGTTCAGCTCGGGGCACAGTTTCGTTACCTTTTGTGCGCAGCTCACGCCGACTACCAACATTATAAGATTCAATTATTGCAAATAGGCCAGAAAGTGTGGCCCCAAAATCTGGACAAAGATGTAGATAACTAAATTGCTTTCCAAGTGACACACTCAGACAATTTAAAGTCCAAAAGGTTGCAAATTGAGTGATTCGCTCTGGATAATTAATAAACAGTTGAGTTCTGAGTTGGGTGCGACTTGGAGGTGAAGTTTACTTAATGGCCTCATGATGAAATATAGTCAAGTCTTTGAGATGTAACAATAAATACATATTTTTGAGCTCTCAATGGGGTATTGAGATGATAGGCGTGCATTGAAATAGCTTCTTTATCTATATTAAATTCATATTGTTAATGTTTTTGGATCTTTAGTGGATTCTTATTTATTATTAGTATTGCGTTGCCTCTCAATTTATTCTGCCAAAGATTGCTCAAAATTTATATTATAAATTTAATAAAAATAAATTTTTTGGTTTTCTTTGGTTTTTGACCACAACTTATTAAAGCTGCGCTCTTTAAACGTGTGGCATGAAGTAGTCCATCGTTTGACTACTTCCGACAGGGACCTGTTCTTAAACTTTGGACTGCCTTTTGGCCAAAACGGCGACCGCTGCGATCCCTGGCCGATAAAAGGAAGACAGAATGACAAAGATTTTATGTCGATGTTTGTGTAAAAGCGTGTCATAAAAAAGCTCAACTTAAAACGGCAAAAAAACAATATGCTAGCCACCAAGAACTACGTAAGTTAAAAAAACTAGCAAAGCAAAACTCTTATCAGCTACAAAGTGAAAAAAACGAACTGGCAAAAATTGTAAAGCGATACGAGTGTAAGTAGCTTTAAAGTAGTTTCTTCTTTTTTTTCATCTGCTAATTTTGTAGCGTCACATTGGCGACAGCATTGCGGAGAAGTTGGACTGGTAGAACCCGTATGGCCACGAGGTGTCGGAAGGCCTCAACTCAAAGATGGTAACGAGCAACACCCGAGAGCCAGGCACATACATGTCAAGTATGCGGCAACTGTCATAAATTCAAGTCGCAATTCGGGTCTGGACTGAGCAGATAAAATATATACATATATACATACATAAGTACATACATTTATATATATATATATGAATGTTGTTTTATCGAAGCTTGACTAGCTAAAAAAAATGGCTTTTTAAAAAATTACATTAAATTTGTGCGCTTCAGTGGGCAGGAATTTATTTTGTTGCACGGTCCTTGGACGAGGACAATGCTGTCGCCCAAGTGGCGGACAAACAACAAGTACAACAACACTATAAACAGCACCAAATGGCACTTCAAGTGCCAGACAATCAATAGCGACAGAAGCAGGCACAACAAATTGCTAGCTGTCCCATGCAATTGTCTTTGGGCTGAGTGAATGTCGTCTCCCTCTATCTCTGACTCTGACTTAAAGCTGAGATATTGTGTTGGTTCTGTTTGTGTCAGGCATATATCATGGCAAATTATATCGCGCAACACATAATTATAAAACTAATTAGCTAAGCGATAACAAACAACTGACGCTGCAGAGCGCAACTCAAGCACATATTTGGCATTTCAATCTAAATCGGTCAGCGCGTGGGCAGCATTGCGCCTTTCTTCGCGATTCTCATCTAGACAAGCTAAGTAATTGGAAATATTTATTTAACGAAATGAGACAAATGAGTTTCTTTGTGACTTTTGTGTATGTAGACAAAGTTATAATGGGCCTACATTATTTCAATATTTAATTAACAAAATACATAAAAATTAACCAATTTATTAGTTGTAAAACAAGACTATAGGTAAATAAGCTTATAGGTATATTTATACAACATCTCTAAAAAGCCTCAAGCGTTGGTAAACATTCATCTTTCCTATATAAAGCTATTACATTTTATTCAGCTTTCTAGAGTTGTTGTCGACGATGCTTATTCGATTTGATTCTAATTCTACTCATACCACTTTTGAGTATGCTTGCTCTTAGATGCACTTATATCAATTTGCTTCCTCAACTCAACACAAATTTTAATTTTTTGTATTGTTATTTTTTCCTGCCGCCGACTTCTAAGCGCCTCAATCTCATAGGCAACGTGTCAATGACAAGGGCAGCGAGAACATTGTCTCCTTTCGGACTATGTTTGCCATCGAGCGTTACACAAAAAGATCAAAGATAAATTTCCAATTTTTCTGTCACGCCTCATCAAACGCACCAAATACACTGACAAAACGCCAGGCCAAGGCGTGGCTCCACTCACCTCCTGCCCTATCGTAGCAACTTGAACTCAACTCATATGAAAAGCTTTTGCTATTATACCACGCTCATTGTGGGGATTGTTGTTTGTTGTATCGCTGCTATTATTGTTGACTTTATTGTTATTGTAACGCCGCGCAGACGACACTTTAACAATTTTTATATATTTTTTTCTCGCTCGCTTTCATTTTTTCTTCATTCGCTATAGATTGACAGCTTTTGTTGGCCAGTGCCAAACACTTCAGAGCACGGCCCAGTACAATGCGCTTGGCAAATGAACGTTCCCCGTGCGCTGCCATCCCAAATATTCGGAACTCCACTAAAGCATCGAGTATGCTCACTGCCAGCACTAGCAGTAGCCAAGCACAACAACAACTTCGATATTGTACAGGGCCAGCGCGAGGCTGACGTCAGCGCCATGTAATGCAATTAAGTTAAATTTTGGTTGTGCGAAAAAAAATGATGACTTTTTCAGTATTTACTTTGAAGTCTTTTGGTTACCCAGTAAAAGCAATATATATATATTGTATATGAGTTTTGCTTTGATTTTTAATGATTCATAATAAATCTTCTTATGGAAGAAATAGAAAAAATTTTATAGATAAAAACATTTTTCTACTTGTTTTCATTTTAAAATTATTAGTAGACATATTTGCAGCTAACTGTTAATTAGTATACGTTAAAATTAAAATGATTTTTCTAACTTTGTTATAATTAAATGGGTCTTCAGAGGGAAGTGTATCCACAACCTGCTAAGGAACTATTGAAGTAACTTATTCTATGAAAAAAAATTAAAAAGTGTCCAGTAAAGCTTTAGGATAAAAAATGAAATTAAAATTTTTCAAATAAAATCAGTTTTAATAATTAATTAAATTTATTACTATATAAAGAAATCGAAATGACAAAGAGAATTATCGTAAGCAAATGTAGACTTATTTGTATAAATTATAGTATATTAATAAATCTTATTTGTCTATAAACATCCACTGTAATTTAAGCAAGAAACTTCTCAATTTGGCAGTCATTAAAGCCATCGGAATGACATCGACAGATAGACTACAATTTATGTGCTTTGCAGAGAACTCAAATTACTCGCATTATCTACGCACTTCGCCACGCATCGCACAAATCTATATGTCAACTAAATGTCCTCCAGCTCCAGCTCCAGCTTCAGATGTGCAAAAAAAATTGGTGGGTTTATTGACCCAGCGCCAGAGAGCAGCGTAGCCCGGCAAATTGCATGTAGAGCGTGAAATAAGTTGGAAGCATATGGCAGAGTCGAGCGAGTCGTCTGATAAGAGCATTTTGTGTCCTATTAATATATATATGAATGCATACAGTAAGCACTCGCACTAGTGAACTGGCCTTCAAATTCACGGACTAGACTAGATATTCGACTGTCGGACACGCTGGCCTCGCCCCCTCGCAAATTGTCCAAAGAGATTTATTAGTTGGGCGTTAATCCCCTGCGGCCTAATACATCATTTCAATTTGTTGCAAGTCGTGTTTATTTGCTGAAGTTTTCGTGTGGGACTGGGCAGGCAGGCGAAGAAGGATGTCTCCAAAAGACGATTGCTGGCCATCGGCTAAAACTATTTCACTTATTTACTTTCATAACTTGCAAATTGTCAACTTATTGTTGGCTCGCCATGAAACGGACACAAAAAATGTCTTCAGAGTAGTGCGAAAAGTTTTCTGCTCCGACAGTTGCTCGGGTAAGTGGCTTATTATGGCAGGCTGTGACGTGGGGCGTCGGGCGTGGGGCGTGGCTTTTATACAACACTTCGACTATAGTTCTGCGGTATTGTTAGCTTGTCCCTGTCTAACTGACAGTCGTAGTATATTGTGGTCCGCTTGTGAGGTGCGTATATATAATTTAATTAGCTTAAAAGTCGGGCTCTCTTTTGGGACTGCGAATGGCGGAGTGCGTGTTCGTGATTTATATTGAAAGCTATGCAGAAATATTGGCCCATAACTGTATTAGCCAAGTGAGTTATCACGCATTGCAGAGAAACGTTAGGGTCCAACTGAGGTTGAGGCTGACGTAAATAAGTGATTACTCTTTGAAAAGCTAACAGAAATATGCGAGGGCAACTTAGAGCGAAGCAAAACGAAATGTTTAAGATATTGTAAGATATTTTACGTGATAAATCACAGATTATTCATATAGAGGCAATACTCTGAGCATTTAAAGGAAATATTGGAACAAGCAACGAACTAATTGATTATTTTAAATATCATTTTTTACAAGCAGCTTAAATCGAGTATTAATTCAGTTAGTTTGTGTTTCAGTAAATACGCGGCTTCAGTCCTATATTAATGCCAGTCGTGGAGCGCAAGATCAAATTCATGATCGGTTGCACAGGCTCGCCCAGTGGCAGTATCTCGAAGTGTCTCAGCATTTTGCTAATGGTGCTCTTCATCTCCAGCATGGCAAACTTTTGGCCAATGCAGTTGCGTGGACCCGCCGAAAATGGAGCATACGCAAAGACATCAATCTTGCTGTTGTTTTCTGGACTAAAACGATCCGGATCGAACTTTTCCGGCTCGGGGAAAAAGTCTGGATCTCGTTGTGCATTGTAGATGAGCAAGATGATGTTTGTGCCGGCGGCAAAGTTCTTTCCATCTGTGAATAGCAGAGAGCCGAGCTTATGTGCATGCCCAGATTGGATTAGATACTCCACTTACTCAACGTAACATCCTCTGTCAGATGGCGGCCAATAATGGGCACTGGTGGAAACAAGCGAAGTGCTTCCTTAATGACGCATTCCAAATACTTCAATTCGCCCAGATCCCGCATGGTACTCGGCTTGGCTTTGTCAGCGCCAAAGACGTCGACGGCCTCTTGGAAGGCGCGCGCTTGCACCTCTGGATGCCTGGCCAGCAGATACAGGGTATAGGAGATGGCACTGGTCGTCGTGTCGTGACCCTCAAACATGAATGTATCCACCTCCTCGCGAATGTCTTGATTGCTCAGTGGCTGCCCATCAACCGTGGACTGCAGCAGGACATCCAGTAGCGCCATGCGGCGTTTGCAGCCCACGTCATTGTCGTCGGCACTTGCGGTGTTTTGTGTGGACTCCTTCATTGCCTTTTCCAGGGTATCACGACGCTCCGCAATGACCTTGTCTGTAAAGTCATGCATGACTTTGATATTCTGGTTCAGTTTGCGAAAGAGCCGTGGGAAGAATATGCGCATGGTTTGATCGTAACGCTGCAGGGGACTCATGAAGCGCTCGGCCATTAGGTTGGATACACTGAAAGAATGCAGTTGTGGTTGGAGCTCTGGAAAATTAATGCATCTCACTTACGTCTTCACGGCTTGCACATAGGGAAAGTTGGGTTCGTTCTGTGCATTGATTTTCACACCCATCGATGTTTCGGCAATGATATCGAGGGCAGCCAGACAGGCGACTGGGAACATATTGATGACAGTCTTGCCATCGGCTCGATCGTACAGTTTCTCTACCATAACAGCACTCTGCTGATCGAAGACCTCCACGAACTCTTCGAGTATCTTGAAGTGGAAAGTGGGTGTGATAATTTTGCGGCGTCTAAACCATTTTTTGCCGGTGCTCAGCAGCAGGCCATTTCCCAGCCAGTACTGCAGCAGGTTGTACAAACTGTTCTTTTTAATTGTCTGCTGGCTGCTCAAAATGGCTTCAATCATTCTCACATCGGCGGTGATGAAGCCGTACTCATGCAACATGGTTAATTTTATATTTTTACCATGTTTTGCAATAATACGTGATACCAGGCTCAGCATAGCTATAAAATTGTCAGCAAATATCAGTTTTCTTATCTATATATTGCTATATATAGTGCACTGCTTACTTTTAGCTGACTCGCCCATCATAAGGACTGGCGCATTGCCCAGCAGAGGGAGCTCTATTGGACCCTTAATTCCAGCCGCGTCTATCATTTTTTTTTGTCGTCGCGTACTTAGATAGTCCCATAAAACGATTGCCGTTAGCAGCAGTGCAACAATTTCCAACCACATGACGCAGTTTTAGGAGCAAAAACAAAGTAAATGGAATTGAAATAAAAAGAAATTGTTTTGGAAATCGAACCAGCTGTTCGCTTCTATAGCTACTGCCTGACTGCTCTCTCGTACCAAGCTGTCAAGCATTTTTGTACTTCGATGTGCCAAGTGCTCGATTAGATAAGCCACCTGGACTGCTTATCGGCGAGTGCTAAGCTTTCCGGCAATGATCCACACGAGTTGAACAGCTAATCTGTCAATTAATGAGCTAATGTCGCCAAACTTATTGAAAACATGAATGAAGATAATGAGATGTAAGATTGTAAGTACTTTTGCTACTGGCAAGAGTGCTCGATGTGGAGATATCATAATCAAATCTATAATTTAATTTATTTTTGTATATATTGTTTATAAAATTTATTCAGAGCTTTACAGCTTATTTATAAATATATGATTACTATATAAATAATATTTTTTTGAGAATAGCAAATGTCAGTTTTTTATAAGCGCTTTGCAATCTTAAAATTTTTTTTATTTGTTTGCTATTATTGTTAAAGAAAATATTTACAGTATACAAATATATATACAGTATATGTATATCGACTTATAGAAATATTTAAATATATCTTGGGGAATTTTTTCTTACAATGATAATATTTTAACACATTTTCTGGGCTCAGCAATCAGAACTAAGCTTAAAACTGCAATTTAAGGACGCCAGTGGACCTCATAGATTTCGATTTGTAAGAGATTTACATTTGTAAAGAGATTGCGCTCATTTGTTCCGTTTTCACTCTATTCCTCAAATGCTTCTTTCGCTCTCACAGCGCATCGGCTTGATCATGCTCAGACTTATCGCTTGACGACTGTTGCTGTATGTACATCGACAGCTCTCTAGCTGACTGCTCTCAGAAATTGCTGTCTGATTACTGTGAACAGATCTTTTTTTAAATTTCTTTGAATTGACTTAAAACTATTCGAAAATTCTCAATAATGAAAGTAAATATTAAATGAGTAATTGAATAATAGAGAGTATATCTAAGTTGATCATTCTTCAAACTTATTGATTTTCGATTTAGCATTAGCATTTACATTCGTAAGTGAAGAAGATTGCAGTTCAATGATGTTCGATTAATTTTGAACATCATTAAGATACTGCGACTTCAAAGCCATGTAAAAATACATTGAGAATTCAAGCATGACTAGACAATACTCTGTGTGACTTTTATTTTACATAGCTAATGCATAGTAATAGAGGGAGTTTCAGCCTTTGCTTAAGAACAGCAAAGATCTTTTGGTCTGATCATAATTGTTTTTGCACTTCTATTCTTAATCGAGTACAAAACTCTTATTACTTGGATATAGATAATTGTTAAATAATAATTAATTTATTATTTATTTTAATTTATTGAATTTTAATTTATTAAATATATTTTAATTTATTAAATATATTAATGCTAACTAAGCATGACAGCTAATATTTTTTGCTTTTAATCATGACTAGCCAGAAAGTCACTTTGACTTTGTATTTAGTATAAATCTATGTCTAAATCCGGCACGAGATTATAAAAGAACTTTTTTTAGCGACTCTTGGACTATTAGTCCAATAATTTGCAACATTAGTGAGAATTTTATACTACACAACATTCTTCGGTAATCTGTTATATTGAGCTTTACGCTATCAAGGCGATAAGAAAAAGCTTTATAATAAGCTAATACACTTTTGGGTTAGGTCAAGAATTGGTATTAAGCGTCTGCTTATCTGTATGTTTAGCGCCGGCTTATCGCTATTATATATATACATAATACTTTGAATATTATTTTAAATGAGTTTGTTGAAACACCACAAATTAGTCGAGAGATAACAAATGGTTATTCATTTGGTTGCTGCTCCATTGAATCGAAATTAGCTCAATTTCCTCTAATCAACTCAATTAGTTGAAATGTAATAATAACTGTTGTTAAGCAGACAGCAAAATTCGAAACGAGCCAAAGCCACAGAACGTACAAAATGTTGTGGGTAAAACGTGGACCGATGAGGACTGCCCCGCTTCTCCCACGGGCGATGGGTGTGTTTGCTGGTGGAAGCTGAGGGGCCGGAGGTCAAACAGAGTAAATTTGCATAGCTACAGTGCGAAACAAAAGTATTTGCATATTGTGTGACTGCTCTGACGTCAAGCCACAGATAATCACACGTGCCAGGGCCGAGTCCTAACCGTTGTTTCTTTATTTCCGCTTGCTTCGTTTCCCGTTTTGTTTTTGTGTTTTTATTCTGTTTTTGTTTTCTCTGTGTTTGTTTGTTTGTTTTTCTTTCTTTGTTTTGGCTTATTTGCAGGAGCTTTTAATTTCCTACACGGTGTGCTGTTTATGATTACCAAACTACCCGCCGTACCCCGTGTATGGAGCTGGAGTCGCTGCAGGAGCCGAAGGAGTCGCTGTGGTAGCACTTTCGATCTCTGTCTGTGGCATTTGGATGATTAATGTGTTTACACAAGCAACGAGCGTTGCGGTCGAGTCTGATTTGAAAGGGTTAAACGGCGCAACACACAACGACACACACTCACACACGCGCACTCACACTCGCAACATGCTGTGTGCCTTTTGTGTAATTTTATTTATTATTCTTTTCTTGGAATTGACTCTCACATGGGAGCAAGATATTAAAAATGCTCCTTTGCCCTTTTGCTCACATTTGTTTATTTTAATGTGTGTGGCTTTTTCCGGCTTCGCTTTTTGTTTTTATTTGGCTGGGCGTCAACAATTTAATTAGTTAAAAAGCCCGAGGTCTCAAGTTCCATGTATTTCGTGTCTCGTCTTGTGGCACTTCCTTTGGCCATGTCTGCCATTTACTTTCATTTCGCTAAGGCGCTGTCGCATAATCTTTTTGCACCATGTTAAGTGGCTGGAATTGAAATTTACGATTGCAAGTAAAGGTAACGCAAATAAATGTGTGCCAACTGGCGACTGGCCATGAGTGGAGAAGAGCACGTGACTCACGACTGAGTTGTAGTCATTTAAATTCTTTTAAATATCGAAATTCCAAATAGTTATGAATTTTAATTAGAGAAGCAGCTACTGAGTAAAGGTAAATAAACTTATTCATTAGAATAATCTACTTATACAAATCCATCATAGTAAGCTTCTGTTTGAGCTGTTAAATGTGTGCCGTGACACGCGGCCATATCTGGGGTAAGTTTTAAATTATTTAAGTGGCCTAGAGCCAGGCCACATGCAAGTCGTGCTAGCCAGGTACGGACAGCGGCGGGCAGGTGCCAATATTAAATAGTTTAAGCGAGATCGTGGAACTGGGCTAGGTTGGGGTCTGACTGACTTTATGGCCATGATAAGCAGGGCAGACCCTTTTGATTTGGTTTAGGATTTGCGGTTGTCGCTGCCTCAGTTGATATACCCCAGTTTGCCTTTTTAGCTCGTTAGTTATGCGCCCAGCTGGCCGGGGCATATGAATGCGGGCGTCCCAAGCGGTTGGAGCTGGCTCTGGGCTTAAGGTTTATTTAAAAGGCCAGTGCCGCATGTTTGGGGTTTTGTGTGTGTTTTAATATGACACCTTTGCCAATGGTAATTTATCACCTTAGCACAGGGGACATATGCTTTGGGCCAGCCACCGGTTGTCAGTGACTTTCTCTCTCCCTCTCTCTCTCTCTGTCTCTGTGAGTGTGTTTTATAAACACTGGGGGATTAAGCCAGCAGTGACTTTAATGTGGGACCAACTGATTCTGGCTGGCAGATAATTAGTGACCGTCCAGAAGATTTATGCATGCGTGTAAATGGCTTAAAGTAGCAAGCAAATAAAACAAAATGAAATGTAAACAAGCTAAGCGTCTAATTAAATCGCAGCAAAAAGCCGATGGGGTAACCCAACTCAAAACTATTAAAAGCGTTGCCAAATGTTCCATCAATCTGCTCAGCAGACCGGCAGCTGACAGCAGGCAGCATGCAGCTGGGAACGGTCAAAGGGGACGTCATAAGGTTGACATACTTGGGCCTGCATGTTAATTAAGTTTAGCCCAACTAGATGTCACCTGTTTTTTTGCGCACCTATATCAACAGTAAAACTGTCATATTAGAATGGCTTAGGCGTCTTCAAGCTAAAGCTAAAAGCCGGGCAGTACACACGGGCGTATGAGTAATATGCATATATATACAAATCTCTATTACTTACACACACACACACATACACATAGATATATATATATATAAATATATATATATGTTCATTCACTTAACATTTGGGTTTTTTTATTGTTTAGATTTTGGACACAGATGAGATTTTATTCGTTATTTTATTTTACAATTCATTGGATTTGGCATTCTGTTTGCCCAACACTTGGCCAAAACAATTGCGAATGCAAATGTTATATAAATTGTGTTGAATGCATTGCAAGTTTTGATTTAATTTTTACTGTTGAAATCTCAGCAAAAGCAATGCAAATTTTAATAACACTCGTGTGTGTGTTGCAATATCTGTTTGTTTTGTTATTCAAAAATGTTTTCGAATTTCTGTTAAAAACTTAACAACTGCTGCTAAGAGGCAACAATTTGTTGTCATCTAACGGCCGTTGGATTCTTGTCGAATTATTAACCAATTTGTTGCTACTTTTTACTGCATTCTGATGGAGCTGGCAGCTAAGCTTAACTATGTCTTGGCTTCATTTCGTATGCATGACATGTAGGAAGCTGCTTTGCCAATGGTTGGTCTTTGGTTGCCTGGTTTCCTAGTTGACTGCTCACCCTCATCACCACCATCATCATTATCATCATCATTAGCAAAGGCAACGGCAACAGCAACTGGTATAGCAACCGAGCAGCAGGAACCACGAGTGCCGCAGATCAAAGAACTTTGACAAAAATTAAGCTCACCTATGTATTTGCCACGTCTGCTCTAATGAGCCATAAAAATGAAGCCTAAACGGCTGCCGAATTTGCTCGGTTTCCATTCGCAACTCTAATGGCTCTCTTCTACCTTCTGCCAGCTCAGATGTCACACCTATGCGTTGGTAACCAGTGGCATATCTTTCTAGACAAACGCAATGGAAACATATTGATTTATATCCGCCAAGACAGAAGTCGTGACAGGATTGCTTGCGGTAT